TTTTCTAAATTCTAAATTATTGCCTTATATTTGCGTTTTTAATGTATTTTTCCACCTTGTGGTTTAAAAAAATCCAGTTTTGTTTTAATGATGTGTAATTTTTTGCATGTAAAAACCATGTTGAAATCTTTTTACATTAACATACAATTTTCAAGTAATAAAATTACTTTTTCCCCACCACCTCAGGGATGAGACATGTAAAACTGATTTCATCTCTATGATTGACATCTCTATGCATTTCATAGATTTTGCTAAAATGAGTCAGACTTTGAATTCTAAGTATGATTACATTTTCCTTCACTCTATTTTCTCATTCTCTTCTGTGGTAAAGGATTGTTTATGTGAAATCACCCTTTCTTAATGTGCTCTGAATCTCTGCTCCATTATTATTTTGTCCTCACTCCCTCATTGTTTGACTCCATTCCCTCTTCCCTCAATCATACAACAAGAATGGAGTAATAAGCTGTCCTCCTTCCTGTATGTGTAAATTGGTGCTGGAGGTTCTCTTTAGATCAAGATTTATTGATTATCATTTAATTATAAAAGAGATGCCCTTGTGAATCTTATTTAATTAATTTTTCAGATTAATTGAAATATTTTCTATCATCTCACTAATTACAAAAAGTGTTAAATTTCAGGAATGATATCTAGTTTTTTATTAAAATTAGAGCTGTTAATTATGTTCTCTTCTATAGGTGATAAAGTTATTTGTTACAGGAATTTGACCTTATACAGGGATTGTTAAGTAGCCATGAGGCTGTTTTCATATTTGATGCCAAACCTGAATAGAGAATGTGTGCAGCAAGGTTGGAGAGAGCAAGAACAAGCTGGGAACCATAAACACAAACGTAAGCCACAGGATAGAGTGAAATCCATCTGTTTGTTGCTTCTAGACTTTGTGATGTAGGTATCCTTCAGAAGCTAGGATCTTAGTTCTGGAACTAATCACACACAGACCTGGCCCAATAGAGAAAATAAAGGAGGGTCTCATGGAAGGAAAAGGAGTAGAGGCACAGCTACTGTGTGATACCACCACATGAGTCCTTAAGTCAGGGACAACGGGTATGAGCCATTAAATGGCTGCAGTTTCACTACCACCTTTCAAATCTTTCAGAAGAAATATTCTCATGACCCACCCAAAACAGAGACATAAAAGAATGGGAATTCTTGAAAAGGTAGTTTAACTTGGCCAAGTTGTCATATCACAAGGTCATCAAAATGAGTCAAAGTAAATTCCTTAGCCCTGGGGATTTTCACTCTACATGACAATTAAAATAGAGGGATTTTTAAATGACTTTAAAAAGGATTTTAATAAAGGTTGATGGTTTGCATGTCTTGCTTTCATTTGGCTTAATATCTTGGAATGATTTGCAGAAGGAAAGTAAATAATATATCCAAATTTAATATCTTAAGAAATTTCAAATTTAGACAGGTTATGTTTTTCTAAGGAATAGAGGAATAAGGAGGTTTAATTACTTCATTAATGAAATGTCAAATATTTACCCTATCTACTGAGTGTAGAAAAAAATGCATTATGACTCCATGACCAGTGATTTATGTTCTAGGTAATATATGATCTGATATTTTAGAGAACAGCAGAATTTAACTCAGAGAGAATATTTTAATTATAGTTTATAATCATTGTGATGAAAATGAATATTTTAATAGGGATGAATTGATAAAGGAACAAAATAGCTATGATTCATATTTTTAATAGATAATAAAGACTCTTGAATAATGGAGAGTATTGCTCCATAATATATCAACCATTATAATATATAACTTAGAAAATCTTCTAGACATTGTTAAATCCTCCATGAAGTGTTAGAAAGGATAACTGTTATCTGTTTTCAATGTAGATGCTCAAGATGCTCTAGTGTATTTATTTTTTCATATGATGGAAATGAAATCAAAGAAGGGGAGATAATTTTTCAATTATTTCTATTATATCCTATAGCATCAGTAGGTTTTAGGTGCTGAATGTGTAATAAATGAAAGAGATTCTGAAAGGTGAAGATTACAATATTGTCATCATTGTGCTCTAAACTGATTTGACAAGAACAAGTTACTGTGACACAATCCAAATGCTGTCATTCAAAATTGAAAACAAATCTTGGATCTACTCACATTTTTGTAGAAATGGTTGATGGGAACACTAAATATATTTAAATAAGTTGTGACATTTTCCCTTCAACCCTGGCCTCTTTGCAAAGCCCTCAATTCTTATATTTAAGTGCCTACTGGAAATCTTTAAAGGAATTCAACATTAGAATTTCCCAAACTAAAAGTTTGATTTAATTCTAATACCACTAGCACTACCAACTGTGGTCTTTCTCCATGGTGTTCCATTTCCATAAATAGCAGGACAATTCACTGTGTTGTCCATTGTCCTTGAATCCTCCCTCTGAGTAATTCTCAACTCCAATTAACCCATCAGCAATGATGATTGTATTTCCAAATATATCTATATTTGGTCTATTCCTCGGTTCATTTCCATCTTATATATCATAAGAATAAAAACAAGTATAGGAATAAAGACTTACAGAGATATGTTGTACTACTAATTAATTGATTTATTTATATTTTTATAATGATTTGATATTTCTAAGCACTGTAAAATGTTAAATGTTCCTTTTCTTTCTTTAAGTTTTTATTTAAATTCCAGTCAGTTAACATACAATGTAATATTAGTTTTAAGTGTACAATACTATGATTCAATACTTTATGTAACAACCAGTGCTCATCACAAGTGTCTTCCTTAATCACCATCACCTATTTAACCCATTGTCCCACCTACCTACCCTCTGGTAACCATAAGTTTGTTCTCTATGGTTAAGAGTCTTTTTCTTGGGGTGCCTGGGTGGCTCAGTGGGTTAAGCCTCTGCCTTCCACTCAGGTCATGATCTCAGGGTCCTGGAAGTGAGCCCCTCATTGGGCTCTCTGCTCAGCAGGGAGCCTGTTTCCCCTCTCTCTCTGCCTGCCTCTCTGCCTACTTTGTGATTTCTCTGTCAAATAAATAAATATTTTTTTAAAGAGTCTGTTTCTTGGTTTTCCCCATCTGACTTCTTTTTTCCCTTTTGTTCATTTGTTTTATTTCTTAAATTCCACATATGAGTGAAATCATAGATATTTGTCTTTCTCCAACTGACTTATTTAAAATTATGTTTGTGATTGTTGGATTTTTTTTAAATTGAAATTGCATTGTAATTCTCTATTTAGGTAAATGTTTAGGTACATGGTTATTTTGTTTGTTTGTTTGTTTGTTTTTAAGATTTTATTTATTTATTTGACAGAGAGAAAGAGATCACAAGTAGTCAGAGAGGCAGGTAGAGAGAGAAGGGGAAGCAGGCTCCCCACTGAGTAGAGCCCGATGTGGAACTCGATCCCAGGACCCTGAGATCACGACCTGAGCCAAAGTCAGAGGCTTAACCCACTGAGCCACCCAGGCATCCCCATGGTTATGTTTTAAAAACTGATTTGTATATATGTATTTTTTCTTAAAGAAGAACCCTCTGAGTTGTGTGGGCTTTATGAATAAGCTCAGAGTTAATGACGACTCATCCCAATTTTGGCTCTCCAAATCTTCCAGAAAGATGGATATATTAGCAGGTATTCTCTGGAACACTCACAAGAGTCTCTGCCCTTCCACAATTTGGGTGGATTGGAATAATTTTGCCAAAGAAAGCAAGCATGGGTTCAATGACAGCTTTCCAGAATCTATGAGGTAGATCAGATAACCATCCACAAAAAAAAAAAAAAAAAAGTCCTCTTACTTATTATATAGTTGTCAGTAAAAATAGACTGAAAAGCCAAATATTGTATTTCTCAGTATTCCTTGATTCTAGGGTTGCCATGTGATTTTTACCTGCTAACGAAATATAATCAGCAGGAGAGAATGTCACTTTCTGGCTTAATACATTTAAATAGTTAGAAACTTTTTGTCATACTCCCCTTACCTGCAAAATTAGCAAGATCCCACATGTGTTATAGTCAAAATACAGGAAGGAAGTGAGACGCTAAATCACCATGTGGTGCAAAGTACCTGAGTAAATAAAGATGCTAACAACCACATTCTTTTTGAAGAGTTCTTTGAATCTCTTGGCCATTAGAAGTATAGAGACAATTTTCATTAAATGTTGAAAACAGAGCCTGTTAGAAAGTAGCCATTTCAAAAATAAAGTTAGCTGTGTTTAAATTTTCTTTTTTACATAATCTTTAGAACATTACTCCTTGATTTCTGTTTGTTTGTTTGTTTTTCTCTAAACAGGTTTTATTTCCTAACTGCACTTTTAGGTTATACCAAAATTGAGATAGAATCCAGAGTTCCCATATACACTTTACCCTGACACACACACAGTCTACCCCATTATTAATATCCTGTACCAGAGTGGTACAATTGTTACAAAATTGATGAATCTGCATGACAGGTCATTCTCAGCTAAAGTTTAGAGTTTACATGAGGCTTTACTCTTGATTTTGTACATCTTATGGGTCCAGACACACTTATAATGATGTGTATCATCAGTACAGTATCATTCAGAACTGTTTCACTACCCTAAAAATCTCTGCATTCTACTGATCCTTCTCCCTAAGCTCTGACAACCACTGGTATTTCTACTATTGCTATAGTTTTGCCTTTCATAATATGACGTAGAGTTGCAGTTATGTAGTATGTAGCCTTTTCAGATTGGCTTCTTTCACTTAATAATGTGAATTTAAGTTTTCCTCAATTCTTTTCTTTTTTTATTTTATTTTGGGATGAAACATTTTAATCTGGTGATAACACATAATACTGTATTGGGAGCACTCCCAGCTCCAAGAGTTCCCCTTCAAGTTATAAGGAATTTCTCAGAAATGAGTGGATTTACAAGAGCCTGGCCCCCATCCTCAGGGGAGGGAGAGGGAATGGAGTGAACAAAGCACTGAGGTCTGCTCTCTCCTCACTCATAGATCCAGCTCTGACCACAGCTCTTGTAATCCACCAGCTCTTCAGGCTGGAACTACAAGCCCATCTCCTTCTCTGCACTCTCCACAGAGTCGCTGCAATGGGTAATGTTCCTGCCAACTTGGATGCAAAAGTCCCCATGGATAGTCCCAGGCCTGGAGTTCATAGGTTTGGTCCCCCTGAGCATCACTCGGCCTGTCTTCATCACCTTTAGGCCCTCCCAGACCATGGAAACCCCAGGCCCTGATTGCATGGACTTCACCAAGCTAGCAAAGAATGGACAGTCCTTCAGGTCAATATAGTGCTCCTTGAGAAGGTCTTCAGAAGCCTGAGATGGGGTCCGTGATTAAAGGAGCAAGACTGATGCAAGTTGAAAGTTAGGCGAAGCTTTATTTTCATGCCAGGCATCAGAAACTGGACTGACTGGTCAGGGCCGTCTCTGAAGAGGGCGACCATCCTCGATCTTGCAGGCTAGTTTTTATAGGGCATAGCCACAGACCTCAACATATATGGCTTCAGCTGATTGGATGTTTTCACCTGTCTTGGCTTGTTATGGTGTGTATTCTTGGAATAGCCAGCCGGAACCAACACTAAGAACTGCTGGGATATTTGGAACTGCTGGGACCTGCTGGGGCATTGAGAACTGCTGGGACGTTTATTCCTGGAATGAAGTCCGAAGATGTAAACAACAATATGGCTAACCAGGTAATATTGAGTCACTTTGGCCAAGCGGGCCCTGGTAGGTAAACAAGTTTTAACATTAACCTAGCCCCAATACCTGAATTAATTTCATAGCAATGAGGCAGAATCCCTTTTGCTCAAAAGGCTTGATGATCTCTCCCACGAAGTTGCACTGCATCCCATGAGGCTTGATGGCAATGAAGATGCATTTATTGTTGACCATGGTCCCCTCCAGTTGCTGCCTCCCCAAGTCTTTTCATGCCTTGATATCTCATTTATTTTAAGCATTGAATAATACTCCATTTTATGAATATACCAGTTTATCCATTCACCTACTGAAGAACATCTTTGTTGCTTCAAGGTTTTGACAGTTATGAATAAAGCAACTATAAACACCCATATGCAGGTTTTGTATGTACATGAGTTTTCAGTTAATTTAAGTAAATGTCAAGCAGTGCAATTGCTGAATTGTATGGTAAGAGGATGTTTAGTTGTGTAAGAAATTGACAAATTATCTCCTAAAGTGGCTATAACATTTTGCATTCCCACCAGCAATGAGGCATCTACTGTTTCACATCCTTGCTAGCATTCGTTGTTGTAAGTGTACCAGAATTTGGCCATCCTAATAGATGTGTAGGGGAATTTCATGTTTATTTGTTTGTTTCTTTCTTTCTTTTAATTTGCATTTTCTTGATGACATATGATATGGAGTATCTTTGCACGTGTTTATTTGCTATCAGTATATATTCTTCAGTAGTGTATCTGTTTAGGTCATTGGTCATTTTTAAACAAGTTGTTCATTTTCTTATCGTCAAGTTTTGACAGTTCTTTGTATATTTTGGATAAGAGTCTTTTACCACATGTCCTTGCAAATATATATATATATATATACTTATCCCCCCTCCCCCACAGTCTGTGGCTTGTCTTCTCATTCTCTTGAGAGTATTTTTTGCAGGACAGAAGTTTTTAACTTTAATGAAGTCCAGCTTATCCATTATTTCTATTTTTTTTAAGATTTTATTTATTTGAAAAGAAGTGAGACAAGGAGAGCACAAGTAGCAGAGTAGTAGGCAGAGGGAGAGGGAGAAGAGGCTCCCAACCAAGAAAAGAGCCCAATATGGGGCTCAATCCCAGGAATCTGGGATCATGACCTGAGCCAAAGGCTAATGCTTAACTGACTGAAACACCCAGGTGTCCTGTTATCCACTATTTGTAAAATTTTTCAACATACCATGGTCACCAAGATTTTCTCCTGTGTTATTTTCAGGAATTTTATTTATTTATTTATTTGTAATCTTACATTTAGGTATAATAAATAATTTTTGTGAAGGGTATAAATCTGTGCTTAAATTCTTTTTTTTTTTAACATGTGGATGTCCCAATGTTCCAGCACTATTTGTTAAAAAGACTATTTTTGCTCCATTGTATTGTATTTACTCCTTTGTTAAAAAATCACTTGACTTTATTTGTGTGGGCCTATTTCTGGGCTCTGTATTCTATTCCATTAATCTATTTATCTGTTCTTTTGTCAATACTACACATTTTTTATTATGGTAGCTCTATAGAAATATTGAAATAAGGAAGGATCTGTTTGTGACTTTGATCTTTTTCTTCAACATTGTGTGGACTATCCTGGGTCTTTTGATTTTCCGTTTAACATTAGAATCAATTGTAGAGATAAATAAAATAGCTTGCTGGAATTTTGATTGGAATTATGCTGAATTTGTATCAAGATGGGAATAACTAATACCTTGACAATATTTGGTCTTCCTATCTATTGACATAAAGTATCTCTCCATTTATTTAATTTTTCCTTGAAATCTTTCATCAGAATTTTGTAGTTTTTCTTGTATGCTTTTATTTTTACATACTTTTAGTAGATGTATATCTAAATATTGCCTTTTCGGGGGGCTTATTCATTGCAGATACGTAGGAAATTGACTTTAATACATTAAACTTCTATCTTGCAACGTTTAACATAATTGCTTATTAGTTATAAGAGTTTGTTTTATTTGGTTTGTTTTTGTTTTGCCAATTCTTCTGAATTCTACAGGATAATCATTTCATCTATGAACAAAGACATTTCTTCCCTTGTATCTCTATACCTTGCATTTCTTTTCCTTAACTTACTGAATTAGCTAGGATATTCAAGATAATGTTCAAAAAGAGTGATAAGAGAAGACATCTTTGACTTCTTCCTGAGTTTAGTAGAAAAGGTTCAAGTTTTTTACCATGAAATATTAGGCCAGTTTAGTGATTAGTTTCTCATCATTAAGTATTTTAGATAGTCTTTATCAAGTTGAGAAGTCCCCCTCTACTCCTAGTGTACTTGAAGTGTTTTCTTTCTTTCTCCTTTCTTTCCTCCTTCCTTCCCTCCTTCCCTCCTTCCTTCCTCCCTTTCCTTTCCTTTCCTTTCCTTTCCTTTCCTTTCCTTTCCTCTCTCTCCTCTCCTTTCTCCTTCCTTCCTCCCTTTTCTTCCTTCCCTTCTTTCTCTCTCTCTATTTTTTTCAGTATGGGTGTTAGATTTTACAAGATGTTTTTTCTACAATTTTTCCTGCTTTTTTTCTTTTTTCAGTGTGTGTTTTTTAGTCTATCTTCTTCAGTCTGTTGATATGATGGATTATATTAACTGATTTTAGAATACTGACTCATTGATTCCTTCTATTGCAATTCATTTTAGTTTACTCTGAATACTCCTGAATTCATTGTCTTGTGATCTTCAATAATTTTTTGGAAATTTTGATTTTTAACTTTTCCTTCCACTCTTCGTCTAACTGGTCTCCCTTGAAAATACCATATATTTCAACTGCTTCAAATACTTACGTCTCTCAAATCTTAAATTTAACTATACTGATGTCTTTCAAATCTTAGATCAATTATAGCACTCATGTTTAAGCTCCAGAAGACAGTAGTAATAATGATATTAATTATGCTTATATGATACTACATAACTTTTTGTAGTACATATATGTGTCAGACCTTCTTATATACATTTTACTTAATACTGTCAGCATTAATATTAACTACATAACAGATAGCAGAGGCCATATATATATTGGGTAGCATGTCCAAAGATAAGTTTTAAGTATCAAACATAGGACTCAAGGGGACTCTTACCTAGGCAGCCACAAACCAACTGCATACTGGGTGTATCATTTTAAATGTCTACAAGCACTCAAAAAAAAAAAAAAAGGCAAATTAATAATTGACTCACAAACAATGTATTTCTTTTTTTTTTTAATTTATTTTCAGCATAACAGTGTTCATTGTTTTTGCACCACACCCAGTGCTCCATGCAATCCATGCCCTCTCTAATACCCACCACCTGGTTCCCCCAACTTCTCACCCCCCGCCCCTTCAAACCCCTCAGATTGTTTTTCAGAGTCCATAGTCTCTCATGGTTCACCTCCCCTTCCAATTTCCTCCAACTCCCTTCTCCTCTCCATCTCCCCTTGTCCTCCATGCTATTTGTTATGCTCCACAAATAAGTGAAAATATATGATAATTGACTCTCTCTGCTTGACTTATTTCACTCAGCATAATCTCTTCCAGTCCTGTCCATGTTGCTACAAAAGTTGGGTATTCATCCTTTCTGATGGAGGCATAATACTTAATAGTGTATATGGACCACATCTTCCTTATCCATTCGTCCGTTGAAGGGCATCTTGGTTCTTTCCACAGTTTGGTGACCGTGGCCATTGCTGCTATAAACATTGGGGTACGGATGGCCCTTCTTTTCACTACATCTGTATCTTTGGGGTAAATACCGAGTAGTGCAATTGCAGGGTCATAGGGAAGCTCTATTTTTAATTTCTTGAGGAATCTCCACACTGTTCTCCAAAGTGGCTGCACCAACTTGCATTCCAACAAACAGTTCATACTCAATGGGAAAAAGCTTGCAGCCTTCCCCTTGAGATCAGGAACAATGTATTTCTAATTGTTATATGTATATCATGTATATTATATATATATATAATATATATATAAACTTCAGATCTGAGGTGTGTGCATGTTTGTGTGTTTGTGTATGATATATCTATAAACTTCAGATCTGAGGTGTGTGCATGTTTGTGTGTTTGTGTATGATATATATATATATATATATTTGCAAAGAATGGATTCTTTCATTTGAATGAAGAAATGATGTTGATCATAAATGACACATAATTTCAAAGTCCAATAGAGAGATACTTATGTTAATTTAAGATACAATTTTGAATGCTTATAAAGTTAGAATGTTTTCAACTTTCCTACTTTTTTCAAAATATAATTTAAAAAATAAACACTTGGAAAAAACCCACAAGGCAATACAAAGAATACTTAAATATTCCTTTAGATTCATTACTTTTTAATATTTTGCTGTTTTGTGCATCTTTTCCTGTCTTTCTCTGTCTCATTCACTGTTTAATTCATATAGATAGATGATAGATAGATAGATAGATAGATAGATAGATATTATATATCTATGTAACTGAATGACTTGAAAAGTATTTGCAGGCATCAATGACACTTCACATTTGAATAAGTTATCATGAAATTTGTAAGGGTAAATACACTGGCTTACATAGCATGCTATCATAATATCTACCTAAAGAAACTGATAATCGTCACATCTTACCATCTACTCTCCTGTACAAATTCAAATTTCTCTTTCTCAACCAAAATGCTTTTGGGAAGATTTAATCAAAACTTATTAATTGTATTTATTTGTTAGATATTTTTTGTTCATTAAAATCAGAGACAATAACCCCATTTTATATTTCTTGACATTGACTTTCAAAAAGTTTACCTACAGATTATATCTCATTGCTTCCTCATGTCATTTGATTTATAATAATATCATCTGTATTCTATATAAAAATGTCAGAAGATGAAAAGACTCAGATTAATTATAGATGATTATGAATCTTTTCCATTAGGAGGCACATGATGATTATTGTGCTGGTTTTGAGAAAAATTTTTTGAACATTTGATCAAAGTGGTAACTGCCAAATCTTTCCAGTATACAGGTACACATTTTCTTTTGTGATTAGTTAAATAATCTGTGGGGACGTGCTCTAAGATATCAGTAATATCTTAATTTCCAAGTCAACCATTCAGTGGTTTCAGTTCATACTGATATTCCTTGTGCAAATCATTTATTATATTGGGGCTTACAAAATAGTGGTTTTTCTAATTACATTACTTTTTTTTTCCATTAATGACTTGGTGTTATTGTGTAAA